CTCTTTCCTGTAATTAGCTGTTCATTTTTATGTTAAGCAAGACTTTTACTGAAAAACTACATTTTTAGCAGTGTACTCAATTGTTGTATATCAATACATTAAGGCATCTTTAGCACTGTTAATTCTCCAAATTAAAAAAAATAATTAGAGACCTGAGATTAAAGAAAAGGAGAACAAAGCAAACACAGTGTGCTACAGCAGCCAGATCTTTAGCTTGTTAGAACAGCCAACACAGTCCCAGAGAAGCAGGCCTAGGACTCTGAGAACCAATACTTGAATCCCATAAATAGCCTACTGTTTTTTTCCATTTATTTTCCAAGTGCCAATTATGTTAAAAACAGATCAATAATTTTATAGCACAGAAGACAAAATCAATGTTACTTCGTTTTATTATTTGCTTTTACAAGTACCTAACCCTTATTCTGTTCTATGAGTAGTGAACAAAAAAGGATAAAGGCCAGACACTACATTTTCATCATCATCTTCTCTGATCTATGTTCTCCATTTCAAGAACTGTGATCTTACTTCAAGTGAGTGTTCATTACTTCTTAAATTTTTTGTTATCCTTTGTAGCTAATAACGGATTTCAAAAAAGATATTAAATTACAGTAGAAAAAGGTGTTCTTATACCAGAATATGAGAATCCATATTGTAATTTATTACAGACCAATTACCAGGGTTTTTGGTTTTTGTTTTCCTGGTAAAGTGTTCTGTGATAGGAAGCTTTATGAAATCAAGATGTTGAGTAAAATATCCTACCTTCACAATCTGTAATGGAGAGAGGAAGAAAAGTTTAATGAAAAAGAAATGTGAGTTTTAGCTTTTTTAGAATTTTGAGAAACTTTCTTTTGTGGCAGATGCTATTTGAGTTTTAAAACCAAAGACTTGGTTTACATTTATTGTTGCACAAGGCAGCTAGATGGGTGTAATAAAGTGTTTGCACCAATGAAGGTATCTTGGTCCCTGCCTGCAGGTAGGCAGCTAGACACAAGTCACAACATTAAAGTTTTTCTTTAAGCTTGTGAAAATCCTCCTTTTATAACCTGACAAGGATACAGCACTGGAGTTTAAACACCATAAAGAAATGGATGGTAAGCAAAAGTGATTGTCCTTAGTGTATATCTGAAGAGTTGATCTCCCAAAACCTAAGAGCACAAGCAATAGTTCACAGAATCACAGAATCAACAAGGCTGGAAAAGACCTTTAAGATCATCAAGTTCAGCCTAGTTCAATGTATTTAAATCTAAATCTTGTGAGTTTTTCTGCTAAGGGTATTTATAACTTTGCCAGCTTTTACCTGAACTATATTTTACAGAGAAGTTAGATGTTTGCCCAAGGGAGACATAAAATGAACACGTGGAGAATTTAGGGTTCCTCAATTCACATTTTTGGCATAAATTTATACCTCTTTTTTGGGCAGCTGTCAAAAGCTGTTCAAACAGCTCATGTTCTAAAATGTCCAGTTTGCAAACGTAGTGGGTTATTCTAGATACAATTATTTAACATGCATAAGGAAAAAAAAGAAGAAAAATTGTCCTCAAATTTTAGTGCTGCACAACCTTCTTCCCTCCCCAACCACCCACATTAAACTTAGGAGCTACAAGGTTTTATAAAAATCACCAGAAATTCACAGTCACACACACACCAAGATCATCCTGGTAGGTGGACATTTCAAATTACTATAAAGATCTCTTAGCTGTCTAATTTATCTTGCCCTTGCAGGAAAGGTCATTGTTAACACCTATAGGTGATTCAGAGAGACAGCTATCAAGCCATGATGAAGTTTCTTCCATCTGTCTTGTCAAGCAAATCAGATAACTAATATGGATGTGATAGGCACAGAAAGCAACTTCTATTACAAATATCTAGCATGGAAAAGCTAAGGACAACCATTCTTCTCAAGACGCCGGGATGCATTCTGATTTCGACTGTCCTTCCCTACTTCTGGCCTAACACCACCCCTCCCAAACGAAATTGATGCAGATGATCCAAATTAAAATGTTTGTTCTGGTGTGAAAATCTTGATTTTTTAATGGAATTTAAAATTAAGAGGTTAACAGAACAAAAACCCCATACATTTATCCTTTTTATGATAATTAATGTCCATGCTCACAAGTATGTTAAAGCCATAGTTGAAAGCAGATGCTCAATTTCCTGAATTCTTTGTGGAAGCCTTTTCAAACCAATGAAATACTTAAAATGTGTGCTTGTGCAAGCACACAGACATAAATGTGTGCCTGTGTGTATTGAATATAACAAACAGCATTTTGGAAAACTCTGCTGTCATTTCTACATGTGGTTGGACAGATTGAAAGGATTCCTGTTTGCTGAAGATAAAGGTTTAACTCTTGCTAGCTGTTAGCCATTTCCCTCTACTTCTGTCTCTTTCTTTACCCTCCTGAGGCTGCAGCTATTTCCTTTGTTTTTTTTGTTTGTTTGGTGTTGTTTTGTTTAGTTTTTTTTTTTTAACTTAAGGATGCTACACTGGAAGGTCCTTTATAGAACAGGATTTGCATCCTTGCACAAGGTAACAGCAGTAAAGCAGGAAGATAAAAGTGGAGCAATATAAGGGTCCAAACTGCTGAGAGTAGGTGAGCATTAAGTCCCCGTTGCATCTCAGCAGCCTGGGATGTCTTCACATTGTTTCCTTTGCATGAACATTATTGCTTTTCTTTTTAATTCTCCTAAAGTAGTTAAGTTCTCCATCACTTGAAGTGAGAACATTGCGGAGAAAATTTAAGGTTTTTATATAATTTTTTTTTTGCTATTATGATGTTATGGCACCAGTAGGCTCTATTAAACAGGCATGGGAGGTGGTGATTGCAATTTAATGCAGAACAGCTGACATCAACAGTTAGATCAAGAAATAGAGCACAGGAAACTTGCAGCTCTGGCAGTATTGACAGTGTCAGTGATGACTTGTGTGTAATTTTTAGCTCTGGTCTCAAGCCTTTCTACCACCCTCCCAGCTGCACGCCTGTTTCTCAGTCAATACCCTCATTTTTTTGTAGGGAGTTGAGGGGAGCTGGGGAGAAGACAAGTTTTGCTGTGCCACTCATTGATTCATTTTTTTTAGAGTAACCTGAGTGAATCCAAACTTGATGAAAAGCCAAACCTTCCTCTTCAACTCCCCACCCCGTGGGAGTTCCTAGAATTATAGAATGGGTTGGAAGGGACCTTCAAAGGTTATCTAGTCCAATCCCCCTGCAGCGAACAGGGACATCTTCAACTATATCAGATTGAGTGTTTCCAGGCATGTGGCTTCAGCCACCTCTCTGGGCAACCAGTTCCAGCGTTTCACCAGTCTCACTGTAAAAAATTTCTTCCTGATATCTAGTCTAGACCTTATCTAGTTTAAAACCATTACCCCTTGTCCTATTAATGCAGACCCTGTTCCCATCTTTCTTATAAGCCTGGAAAGGCCACAATAAGGTCTCCCTGGAGCCTTCTCTTCTCCAGGCTGACCAATCCCCAAAGTTCCTTGAATAGCTTTGAGAAGGCCCTGAAAATCCCACCAAAAGTCCATCTCCTTCACAGGCAAGCAAAATCTGGGATACTGGCCAAGTCATAGCGTGGGAGGAACAGAGCCATCAGTGCCC